GCGTCGATGGAGAAACAAATGAAATGGTACCGGATATCGATGTGCTTGGTGCGCGCGTGATATGATCCGTCCCTCGTGAGTGCGATGGCCGATTGGTTGTCGCTATGGAGGGTGGTCGGCTCGGAGGACGGGGAGAAGATTTCGCCAATGAGGCGACGAAGCCAAATGGCTTCCTTTGCGGCATGTGTTGCGGCGACATACTCGGACTCGGTGGTGGACAGCGTGACAAGCTCCTGTTTCTTCGAGGACCAAGAGACCGCACCACCGTCGACAAGAAAAACGTACCCGGTGATGGCCCGCCTGTGCTCCTGTGAGGCCCCGTCCGCATCCACAAATCCCTCCAGCTCGTTTTTCCGCGCTCCGTAGACCAGCGACAGGTTTCTTGTTCCGAGGAGGTACCTGAAGACCCGTTTCACCGCCTCCCAGTGAGTCCAGCCCGGGTTCTCCGAGTACTGCGCCAGTGTTGTCACGGCGAACGCGATATCGGGCCTTGTGCCTAGGGCTGCGTACATCAGTGCACCAATGGCCTCTCGGTACGGGACGCGCTTCATGCGCGCGACATCGATCACGGTCTTCGGGCAATGCGCCTTGGAGAGCATGACGTGTGGGTCCATCGGGGTCGAAATGGGCTTGAGGTCATCGAAATTGAAGCGCGTGATGATCGCATCGATGTACGAATGCTGCGACAAGGAGAGTGTGCGCGCGACAAAATCGCGACTGATCTTGATGCCTAGAAGCCAGCTTACCGGACCCAGATCCGTGAGCTTGTACTTAGTCGCGATACGTTTTTGTAGTCATCGACTTGGGAGCGGGAGTCACCTGTGATCAGGCAGTCGTCGACGTGGATGGCGAGTATGACAAAATGTTTGTCGCGCTTGTAGAAAACGCCGTAGTCGGCCTCTGTGCGCATGAAGCCCAGGTCAGCAAGTGCGGCGCAGAGGGTCTCGTACCACTTGCGGCCGCCCTGTTTCAGCCCGTACAACGCTTTGTTGAGCTTCAAGACGTATTTGCGGTGGTCCGCAAATTCGTGGTCCGGGGGTTGTTCGAGGTAGACGTCCTCCTCGAGGGTAGAGTTGAGGTACGCGTTGTTGAAATCAAAAGAGTCGGCGGGCCAGTCGTTCCGAGCAGCAGTAGCGAGGATGAGGCGGAATGAGGAGAGACGAGCGACGGGGGCAAACGTCTCGTAGTAATCGACGCCATGGATTTGAGTAAAACCGCGCGCGACAAGGCGCGCCTTGTACTTGTCGATTTCGCCGGCCGCAATCTTCTTGATGCGCAGGACCCACTTGCTACCCACAACGTTGGTGGATTTGGGGCGCGGGACGAGGTGCCATGTGCCGTTGGAGGTGAGAGAGTCAAGCTCGGCCTTGATGGCCTGTTGCCACTTCGGCCAGTCCGGGCGCTTCTTCGCCTCCACGTAGGTGGGATCGATGCACTCCACGTCTCCGGTGGCAGCCGCCATGGCCATCTCCACCATCTCCCATTCCTCCCGTTCCTCCTGTTCTTCGCGCGACAGCATTCCGGCTCCCTCTTCTTCCCCCACCTCCTGCAACGTCGCGCTCGACATCCTCCTAGGCAACGTGTTCCGCCCTCGCCCGTCCGTGCTCCCCTCACCGCTCCTCAACCTCCGGACGTAGTCCGACTCCTTTCGGATGCGTCGGGGTCGACCGCTTGTGGCGACAGGTGCATGCGTCAAGCCCACAGGATCGTGCAACAAACCGTCAGTAGAGGGGGTAGTAGGGTCGGCATCAGTGCCTGCAGGAGTAGTGGGGTCGGCATCAGCGCCGACAGGGGACGTCGTAGGGGCGAGCTCGCTGTTCTGCTGGTACGTCTCATTTTGTTTCCCCTCAGGTTGCTGATCCTGCTCCCCCTCGAGCTCCACCTCGACGTTGTTGTCGTCCGGCTTGAAGCGCACGCTGCGCTCGACCGTGACGATGCGGCGATCGGGCCAGTAAATGCGATGCACGTCGGTCGCCTCGTCCCACCTGACCCATCGTCCCGTCTGTGCCCTCACCGCCAGCTTCGACCCGCCGGGCGAGTGGATTCGGACCTCGCAGCCCCAGGGGTGGAGGTGCGCGACATTCGGCTTGTCACCCCAGAACGCCTCGTACGGGATCATCCCGTTGAGTGCCCGTGTCGGTGTGCGGTTTTTCACGTACACAGCGTAGGTCGCCGCTTCACCCCAAAGGGCTTTCGGAAGGCCACTGTCGTTCAGCATGGCCCGTACTTTCTCGAAGATTGTCCGGTTGGCTCGCTCGGCCACACCATCGTACTCGGGTGTGTCGTGAGTTGTCAATTTTCGTATGGTTCCATGCGCGGCAAGGTGCTCTGAAAATTCATTTGACAGGTACTCTCCTCCTCGATCAGTGTGTAGGCACTTGATCGGCACCCCCTTCTGGGTCCTGTAGAAGGCCTCCGTGGCCTTGTACGATCCAAAGGTCTCGTCCTTCGTGCGCTGGAGGTAGGACAGCGTGTACCGGCTCTTGTCATCAATGAAGAGCGACTTGTAGCGGCGTCGCCCCAAGGTCTCCGTCGGTGCTGGTCCCCACACGTCCGAATGGACCTCTCCGCCAATTTCGGCGGCACGCGGTCGGACTCGTTCTCGCGCGATGGGCTTCCGCGCCATTTTCCCGGCCTCGCAGGCCTCGCAGACGGACGGCTTGCTTCCAGGGATCAGTCGGACCCCCTTCACCAGCCCTCTGGTGATCGCC